TGAGCAAAGAAGGAGGGAAGGGGAGAGCTACCAGGAGATTGGGAAGAGTGTTCCAGGCAGAGGGAACAGCCCATGCAAAGGCCCTAAGGCAGGACTGTTGCTGGTGTGTTTGGGGGCGTTGAGGGGACAGTGGCTGGAGCCGAGCCAGCAAGGGGGAGGGGTGTCATAGAGGGACTAATGGGGGGGCATATCAGGACACAAGTCATCTCCTCACCTCTTTAGCGGCCACGTGGCTCTTGGTGCATGAATGCAGCAGTGTTTATTTAACCCAATCCCAAGTGACGGCATATTCCAGATCATTTCCCATCCCATTATAAACAGCACTGCAGTGAACATCTTGTGTACACATCTTCCGTCTTCCTGGGCTCCCAGGGCCCTGCTGGCCTGGGAGAGGAGGCTCAGGCTGGAGCAGGAAGCTTCTCTGTCTCCTAGAGAGAATGGAGACAGCAGCCCCGCCTCACCACGGGCTTCAATGTCCCCTCACCCCAGGCTTCCCGTACTGGAGACAGCGTTTCCGGCTGGAGAACCTCACTCCAACCCTCTGGACTCCATCATGAGCAACCGCTTCCCCCGCTGGTTCATCCTCGGCCACCTGGAGACCCGCCAGTGCGAACTGGCCTCTGCCATGCTGACAGCCGCCAAGGGTGAGGATGACGACTGTCCCCATACCCCCGTCTTCCTCCTCTGCCTTCCTGTCCTTCTTCCTTTCCCTCTTGCCTTTCCTACCTCCTCTTATCCTTTTGCCAAATTCCATCAATATTCCTTAAGCACCTTCTACAGGTACCAGGCACCGTCCCAGGTCCTGGGGATGTAGCAGGCGACAAAGCCATCCCAGATCCCCTGCCCTGTGGTAGTACATTCTAGCAGGAGAAGACAGTGACACAGTAACTGAGAAGGTGGTAGGTGCTATGAAGGGGAATGAAGCAGGTGGACATTTAAGCAAAGGTCTGAAGGTGAGGGCGGAGCTGGCAGGTACCTGGTGTCCTAGCTCGGGCTGCCACAACAAAATACCATAGGCTGGGCTACTTAAACAACAGAAATTTATTTTCTCATTGTTCTGGAGGCTAGAAGTCTGAGATCAGGGTGCCAGCATGGTCAGTTCCCAGTGAGGGCTCCCTTCCTGGCTTGCAGATGACCACCTTCTTGCTGCATCCTCACATGGTGAGAAGAAAGAGAGAGAGAGAGAAAAGGACAGGGAGAGAAAGTTAAAGTTCTTGGTTTCTTCTTATAAGGGCACTAATCCTCTAATGAGGGCCCTACCCTCATGACCTCATTTAAACCTAATTATCTCCCAAAGGCCTTATCTCCAATTACTATCACATTGGGTGTTAGAGCTTCAATGTATGATTGGCAGAGGGGTAGTGGGGGGACAATCCAGTCCATAGCATCTGGGAAGAGCATTCTAGGCATAGGGAACAGCCAGTGCAAAGGCCCTGAGGCTGGACCATGCCTGTTATGTTTGAGGAACAGAGAGGAGGCCAGTGTGGCTGCAGCAGAGGGACAGGGGCTTATGGGATCTGGATCAGTGATAATCATAGTTATTAATAAAAGCTAACATTTGTGTAGCTCCTTGCCACGTTAAGGCCTTTCCAAGTATGGGCTCACCACGGCCCTGTGAGACCGGTTCCATTGCCTGCGTGTTACCCATTTTACAGAGGGGACAGCTAGGACCCAGAGAGGTGAAGTGACTTGCTCAGGGTCACACAGCTAGTTTGTGGCAGGACAGGGTTTTGAACCCTAGCATTCTGGGTCCAGAATCAATGCCCTTGAAGGTAAAGGGGCCAGAGGGTCACGAGGTGGCCTCCTCCAGGAGATAACTGGGAGGTAACCAGCAGAGGGAGGCATTGAAGGTCTGAACTTTCACAGAGTTTTTGCCTCCACACTCACGCACATGCCCCAGGGAGGGGGGACCCGTGTGAACAAGTTGGGCAGCCGCAGGGGCTGGTGCTGGAGTTTGTCCGACGGTGCTCTCTGGCCCTCCCTTCACCCAGGAGACCCTAAGTGGCTGCACGCGGTCCTGGGCTCCATCCAGCAGAACATCCACTCTCCGGCCCTGCTCTTCAAGCTGGCGCAGGACGCCTGCAAGACAGCCACCCCAGCCAGTGCGCCACCGGACACCACGTTGTTGGGCATCGCATTGGAGCTAGGCCTGCAGGTGAGGGCTGCCAGGTGGAGGCGGGAGGGCGATGCTGCTTCGGGGCGGGGCCTGAGTGTGAGACATGCCTCTGGGTGGGGCCTAAGTGTGAGCTGCCCCTCTGGGGTTGGGGTTGGAATGTTAGCCACACCCCTGTGGGTGGGCTCTGTATGTGAGCCACACCTATGGGGGCGGGGCCACAGAAGGGCCGGGTCCGTGAGTAAAAGTCCTGGGAGTGAGGGAATGATGGGTCACCGGTCGCTTATGAATGGGAATCGCCCCTGGAGATGTGACTGAGAATGAAATAGGGGTAATCAGTGGAGGGAAAGGACAGGGCCGCAAATGAGTGGGTGGGTCCTAAGAACAAGTGGACCCTGCGGGCGGGGCCTGAGACTGATTGGCCATTGGTTAGGGACCATGGGTGGGTGGAGTTGAAGCTTAGGGTGGGGCAGAGCCTGCCAATAAGGAGCTTTCTTGGAGGCGGGGCCTGAAGACAAAGGCAGCCTAGGAGGACCGGTTCACCCCTGAGGGGCTGGCTTGGGGGAAGGTCCCGAAGGTACTGGAGCCACCCCTGGGAGTGGGGTCTGCCACTGAAATTCCTGTAGGCGGGGCCTGCAGCTGAATGTCCTTGTCGTCCCCAGGGGCTGGGCAAGGGACAGAGCAAGGGGTGTTCTTGCAAGGGCAAGTCTCAGATACGGAGTGCAGGGAATGAATGAACTGCAGGGTGTGGACCCCAGGGGACCTGGGTGGGGCGGGGGCTGAGGGGATAGACAAGGAGGGTGTCCGCGAGGCCAGGGCCTTATTGGCTGAGATTCAATAAGAAAATAAGAGATCTAAAGCGGTGGCTCATGCGTGTAATCCCAGCACTTTGGGAGGCTGAAGCGGGAGGATCGCTTGAGCTCAGGAGTTCGAGACCAGCCTGAGCAAGAGCAAGACCCCGTCTCTACTAAAAATAGAAAAAATTACCCGGGGGTCGTGGTGTGCACCTGTAGTCCCAGCTACTCCGGAGGCTGAGGCAGGAGGATCGCTTGAGCCCAGGAGTTGGAGGCTGTAGTGAACTATGATATGACACCACTGCACTCTAGCTCAGGCGACAGAGCAAGACTGTCTCAAAAAAAATAAATAAATAAAAATAAAAGAACAACCCAGCCATAGCAGGAATACAGGAATAGTAGTGGCTGACTTTACCTGATCACTTTCAAGCAACAAGCACTGGGCAGAGCTTGACCACACAATTTGTTTAATTCTTACAACAATCGTATGACATAGATACTATTTTTAGCCCCACTTTATACATGAGGAAACTGAGGCCCAGAGAGGTGAGGTCACCAGCCCAAGTTCATTGGCTCAGCCTTAACCTCCAGGATTGTCTGGGGTCCTCCATGGGCCGGCCCAAGACACCAAGTGACCCTCCTCCTCTTCTGTCCCCGCTCGCACCCCGCAGGTGATGCGGATGACCCTGAACACCATGACGTGGCGGCGGAGGGAGATGGTGCGCTGGCTGGTCGGCTGTGCCACGGAGATCGGTGAGAGCCCCTGAGGGGTCGCGCCACCCACCTCCCTGTTGTGGTTCTGCACGTGCCACTGAGGAAACCAGAAAGAGCCAAGAAAGAGCAGCATAAATTTTTCCCTGACTCTGTCCTGTGCTCAGGGCTAAGCCGGGAGGGATCGTCAGACTGAACAAAGGCCCAGAGGATGGCCAGGCTAATGTGGTGGCGGCCACCACATTAGTGTCCTACCCCAATTCCCACCTAGTCTAGCTGCCTCCTGATTTTTTGGAAAAGTAAAACAAACTTTCTGTCCAGGCCGGGTGGGGTGGCTCATTCCTGTAATCGTAGCACTCTGGGAGGCCAAGGCGGGAGGACCGCTTCAGATCAGGGGTTCGAGACCAGCCTGAGCAAGAGATCCTGTCTCTACAAAAAATAGAAAAATGAGCCCCGTGTGGTGGTGCCCGCCTGTAGTCCCAGCTACTCGGGAGGCTGAGGCAGGAGGATCACTTGAGCCCAGGAGTTTGAGGTTGCAGTGAGCTATGCTGATGCCAAAAAACAAAAACAAAAACAAAAAATAAAAACAAAGTTTCTGTCCAGCATGGTGTAGCGGTCGGGGTGGGGGGAGGAAAGGCGGTGTCTGGGTAAATCCATGCAAACACCCATCCGTCCCTACTGAACAGTTTCTCCTGTCACCTCCCACCAGGCCCACAAGCCCTGATGAACATCATGCAAAACTGGTACTCCTTATTCACGCCGGTGGAGGCGGCCACCATCGTGGCGGTGACAGGCACCACGCATGCCACGCTGCTGCGGCTGCAGCTGGACACGGCCCGGCGGGAGGAGCTCTGGGCCTGCGCGCGCACCCTGGCCCTGCAGTGCGCCATGAAAGACCCTCAGAACTGCGCCTTGCCCGCCCTGACCCTGTGCGAGAAGAACCACGCGGCCTTCGAGGCGGCCTATCAGATCGTGCTGGACGCCGCCGCCGGAGGCCTGGGCCACGCTCACCTCTTCACCGTGGCCCGCTACATGGAGCACCGGGGCCTGCCGCTGCGAGCCTACAAGCTGGCGACGCTGGCCTTGGCGCAGCTCAGCATCGCCTTCAACCAGGACAGCCACCCCGCCGTCAACGACGTGCTGTGGGCCTGCTCCCTCAGCCACTCGCTGGGCCGGCACGAGCTCTCCGCCATCGTCCCCCTTATCGTTCGAAGCATCCACTGTGCGCCGATGCTCTCCGACATCCTGCGCCGCTGGACCCTCTCGGCGCCTGGCCTGGGTCCCCTGGGCGCCCGCCGGGCTGCCAAGCCACTGGGTGCCGACCGGGCCCCGCTCTGCCAGCTCTTGGACGCCGCGGTAGCCGCCTACATCACCACCAGCCACTCCCGCCTCACGCACATTAGCCCGCGACACTATGGCGACTTCATCGAGTTCCTGGGCAAGGCCCGTGAGACCTTCCTCTTGGCGCCCGACGGGCACCTTCAGTTCGCCCAGTTCCTGGAGAACCTCAAACAGACCTACAAGGGCAAGAAGAAGCTCATGCTTTTGGTGCGGGAGCGCTTCGGTTGAGGGGCGGCAGGGTGGTGGGAGTGGGGGTCCCGTCGCCCCTGCCCCCCCGACCCCCGCTCTCCATGGGGGGCCTCGGCACTGGAGGCCCATGTGGCATTTCAGTATTAAGTCAGGGAAGGAGCCCGGCTGGAGATGGGAGGCAGAGGGGTGGCGTCCTGCCACGGCCACATGCGTGCCTAGGAGTGTGCGAATGAGTGTGCGAGACTCTAGGAGCAGAAGCCATACCACCACCCAGGAGCCTGGAAGGGGGTGTGTGCTTGGGCAGCCGGTATGACCCCGCCCTGGGCACCCCAAAAGCAATAGCAAGCTCCCCCTCTCCAAACTCACAGGCCTGGCTTGGGCTCCAGGAGGTGGCGGGAGGCAGGACTTCCCACAAACTGGCCCGCTAAGTCAATGTAGCAGACCCCCCCCGAACCCCTCCCCTGGTGGCCAGGGGACTTGTATTAGGGCATCTGAGTTCCCTGTGCCCTCCCTCCGCCCCACTGCTCAGGGTCCCTAGTCTGCCGCCTCCTGGGCAGCTGCCCAGCCAGGACCAATGTCTCACCCCCACTGAAGGATTTGAGGAGGCTTCAGGCCTCAACCACATACCTCACCCCCTCCCCCCATGTCTGGCCAGGACGTGCCCCCATTCCCTTGGGCACCAGGGTCCCAAGGTGGGCTGGGGGTGGTCATCACTGCCCCTTGCCCCACCTGCTAGTCACTGGACCTGCAACTCAGGAACCGAGCGAGGCTCACTCACTGCCCCTCCCAGCCTGGTGTCAGGGGACACAGGCACAAGAGAGCCAGGGACCCCCGCCCCCGATCTGGAAAGGAAAGAGACCTGCTTCTTGGCATTTTCTGGCTGTCTTGTCTGTCCCTTTCCCCTCCTCTGTCTCCCTGCTTCACCCATTCCTCTTACTCTGTGTCCACATTTCTCTGCATTTCTCTGCGTCTCTCTCGGTCCCAGACGCTGCCTCTCTTTGGCCACCCTTCCCCTCCCCTGCCTTGGCCCAGGGGGAGGAGGGGGGAGGGCGTCCCACTCCCGAGTCACCTCCCCGCACCTTCCCCCCTCTTGTGTATTAAGGACAAAAGACCACGTCATTTTGTAACTTTTTTCTATTTATTGAACCATATATTGTATATCCGTGTTTTTTTTCTCTTTTCTTTTTTTAAAGATTGAACACAGCTCTTTCTTTTTAATTTTATTTTGAGATAGGGGTTTGTCCGCCCCTTACTCCTTCGGGCCAGGGTCACCCCGTTTCTTCCACATAAGAAAAAAATCTCCAGCCTCATTTCTGGGGAGGAATGGGAGAGACTTTTTGGCTTTATCCGGGGATAATTATGTGAATAATCGCAAACAGGATGGCGAATCCTTCCGTAACCGTGAGCAAGCATGGTACTGAATGCTTTACAGCTGTCATTCAGTCGTCACCACAGCCTCGAGTCTGTAGGATTATCGTTTCCATTTTACAGACGAGAAAACTGAGGCTGCAAAGTTGAAAGAGAGGACTGCCGGCTAGGAAGCAAGGCCTAGGAAGCAAGGCCGCTCGATTCAGTACCTCGCTGGGGCCACGGAGCCTGCCCCACCCCAAGCTGCATGGCCCGTGCACGGCTGGGAATGGCCACTAGGGGGTGCCCTGGCTCCGGACACCAATATTGGGAGTTACTTGTCTCCAAACTGCTACGCACGGGAGGCGGTGGCGGGTGCCGGGTGCAGCTGGGTAGGGGAGACACCCGGACCAAAATCGGTAACGGGTTTAGTTCGGCCTCGGTGGGCGGGGCCACGGCCAAGACAGGACGAGCGGGGTGGGCGTGTCTGGACGATGAGGGGCGTGGCCAGGGCATGTCTGGGATCTTACACCAGAGATGAGGCTCCCAGTCCCCAAATAGACTGTGGGGTCTGCGGGACAGTGGGGAGGACTTTAGTTGTCTACACTTCCCCGAGAATCAGATCGCTCGGGGCCACCCTGCTTTTAGAGACTGACGGACGAATGGACGGACTGTGTCTGGGTCACTGTCTGGGCCGGGGCAGGTGAGGACAGGGCCTCCCCGGAGTGCCGGAGCCGGCCGCTAGAGGGCGCCTCGCGGAGTCGTGGGCCGGGCTTTCGCGGGGCTGGGCACGGCGATTGGCTTGTGGCACCGCCTTCCACTCGAGGGGACCAATTGGAGGCGGCCCCACCTCCTGCCCCGCCGCGCGTGTTCCCGCAGGTATGTGCAGGCGGCCCCTGGGCTGGTCGGTGCGTTCCCCGCAGCCGCTGGAGTCCTGGGATGGTGGGGGGTGGCAAACCTCTAGCGCACCCCCTGTGGTCCCTGCCACCTCCAAATGTCTTCAGGCCTGGGGCACCCCGTACTGTGCTCCTCAGCTGCCAGTTACCCACAAACGTTCCCACCGACCTGGGGCGCCACTCAGGTCCCAGTCACACCGAAATGTCCCCCCTCCGGCCTGGGGTTTCCCTCATGTCACCTCGAGCCCAAGTTACCCTCTAGCATTGTCAGATAGCAGGCGCTCCAGATCTTCCTCCCAGGCCTGAGTTATCCCTTAGGTCCCCAGTTGCCCCCCACAAACGTCACTGGCTCAAAACCCTCAGGTCCCAGTTGTCTCCAAATGTCACCCTTCAGGCCGAGCGTTTCCATCAGGGTGACCCCATCTGGGTCCTCCCCAGAACAGCTCTCTCAGTAACCAGCTCTCCCGGTCACATCACTGAAAGTCAGTCCCTGCTGGGTCACCTTTCCAAGCACAGGGAATCCTCTGAGTCCCTGTGACTAAACTGCCACTTTCCTCGGAAAGGCGGGGTGGGCATGGGGTGGCGGTGGAGTCAGGAGTCTGGGGCGCCAGGACAGGCCAATCGAAAGCTGAAACTCCAGGGACTAGAGGCAGGAGTGAATCACAGACCAGACCTTCAGGAATGAAGCCAGGGCGACTTTTATTTAATTGGACAACAGGCATGACACACAGCACAAACTGCCTCTCCCTCCCACCTCAAGCTTCTATCCGCCCCTGCCCACGGTTGGGAAAGGGGACAGCGGGCTGGCCCCAAAGACCTGGGGAGCTTCACTGTGCCTCCTCAGTCCCACCCAGAAAAGAGCCCCTCATCCCATGTGACTTTGAGATAGTGGACAGAGTCTTAATTCCTCCCTGTCCCAAGACCACCCGAGGAGGGGAGGATCAGCTGTTCCCAGGGCCCCAGGACTGAGCAGCCCTGCCTGTGTCCCTTCTGGGTTCACATGGACCTTGTTCCCTGCCCCACGTGTAGGGCGGGTGTCACTGCTCCTCCCCCAAGTTAGGAAGCTGCAGGGCCCAGGGAGATGGGGCCAGGTCAGGTCAGCCCAGCCTGATTCCGGAAGCCCAGAGTTGGCATTTAACGGTCAGGGGGGCCCAAAGCAGCTTCCTCTTGGGTAACTGGCTGCTGGGAAGGTGCAGGGCAGGGCTACGTCCCCTGCCAGGCTTGGGAGAGGAGGGGCTGAGGCCCAGGCTCAGAGGGGACACAGCTAGCTTCCTTTTTTATGGAAGGGCTGTCTACCCACCTAGCCACCTACCTGTCCATCCTGGGGCCACAGCCCAGGCTGAAGTGTGGCCACGGAGTGGGATCCTCAAGTGTACAGTTAGGGAAAGGGGCCTGCGGCAGACAGCTGGGCCCAGCCAGGCCCACCCACCCCCTCCCTCGCTCCCTCTTTCCAGGCATCGGCCCACCCAGGGAAGGCAGGGGCTGCGGGCTCCAAGGGGGCTTGACTCCTGTTCCTGCTGAACTGAGCCAGTCTGCACAAATCAACTGTGTTTCAGCTCAGTAGGCACGGGAGGCAGAGCCCAGGGAGGCCGGGCAGCAGGACAGCGGGACAGGCAGTGGCAGCGGGGACGAGGCGGCACGGCCAGAGGAGGTGGGGGCCCGGGGGGCGGAACTTAGCCACTGTGAACATGATTTGGTGTGGACCCTGCTCACAAGCAGCTAAGCCCTGCTCCTCAGGCCAGGCACACAGGCTTCGGGGCCTCTCTGCCACCCTGTCCCCGGGCAGGCAGCATCCTCGGCGGCAGAGCTCAGGGTCGGTTGGAAATCCCTGGCAATGTGATTTGTGATAGGCAGCAAATCCCATCCCCAGGAACCCCAGCCGGCCATGGCACAGGGGTGAGGGGGCATCGGGCGGGGCCAGAGGCTGGCACCTGGAGGGGAGAGAGAGAGTAAAGGAGGTAATGAGACTTGGGGCATCTCCTGTCCAGGTCCTCAGCTGCTGCCTTCCTTCCCTCCCCGGGAAGCCTTTCCCCGCAGGCGGCACAACTGCCCGCAGAGCTAGACCCTGGCTGTGCCCTGGGTCCCGGCCCCAGCCCCGGAGAGCAGAGATGCCCACGGGGCCCTTTTAGGCCAAGGAGGCTGCAGGAACTTCCAAAGCCAAGTTCCCCCCTCTCGCGCCCCCACCCCCAGCCCTGGGCAGGCCAAACGAGGCCATAGGGAGAGGAAGCCGAGGGGGGCGGGCAGGCGGGTGAGGAAGTGATCTCACCCCAGCTGGCGCCACTTCCTAGAAGCCTGAAGGGCAGGAGGAAACCACCAGGGCCTCCCCCCACCGTAGCCCCATCTCCTTGGTAGCCAGGACACAGGGGCCCGCGCCCCACCAGAGCAGATGCCAACGGCAAGTACCCCGACCTCCCCCTAGGCACGCACCCCCCTCTGCCCCCAGAGCACAGAACCCGCGCTCAAAGATGCAGTCCTCTCCATCCAAACAGCCCGAGGTTCCAAGCCCCGCTCTGCACTTTCTCAAATACCCTCCGAGCCTCAGTTTCCCCATCGGTAAAATGGAGCCAAGAGCCTCTCCCACACAGCCTGGTGAGATTTCACCAAGAGCGTGTGTGCCGTTCAGCAAATGCCCAGCACCAGAGCAGGCCGCGGAATTTTGGGCACCCAGTGCAAAATGAAGATGTGAGCCCCTAGTTCGTTAATTAAGAATTTCACGACATCGGCAACAGAACATCCTTAAACCAAGCTCCGGGTCCTTCCAAGCAGGGGGCCCTGAGATTGCATGGGTCACAGTAAATGAAGCCTCTTAGGATAAGAGCCCAGTGGCTAAGAGACCCCAATTCTGGAGCCAATACACCTGTATTTGAAACCCCCAGCTCTGCCACTTCCTCGCTGGGTGACTCTGGGCAAGTTGGTCAACCTCTCTGAGCCTCAGTTTCCCCGTCTGCAAAAAAGGAATAATAAGTATCTACTCCGTAAGTCGTGCCGAGGGTCCCATGAGTGATATGCGTGATCACAACAGGGATGACGCAGTCAGTACCAGGCAGGACAACAGAAACAAGGACACCTCACACCGGTAGGACCTCAGTGTCCAATCTGGTGGCACCCACCACTGGGAGATAGGAGGTGGTAGATGTCTTGCTTTGTCACCCCCTGCCATACACACACACACACACACACACACACACGCACACACACAGACACACACACACACACAGAGTGGCCAACCGCTCCCATCAGGCCCCAGCCACAGCCCTGTCCCCTTAGGGTCTGGGGGCACCGACTGGGAGCAGCCGGGGCCCCGCAGGGCGGCCAGCCTCCCCAGGCCGCCTCCGGAAGTGAGACAGCACATTCGTGTCCCAGGGACGAGAACGGGAAGGGCGGCCATTTGGCCAGGCCCGTTTCCTGTGGGGTTTCCCCTGCTCAGAGCCCAGGGCTGGGGCCAAGGCCACTCCCCATCCCCGCAGGCACAAAAGGTCTGGGTCTCAAGTGGAAGGGGTACTGCCACGCAGGTGCCCAAGAGCTGGGGCCCCCTTTACCAATCATGGTGTGCCTCTTGGGCTCATGGGAGGTGGTGTCCAGGGAGGACCAAGCTCCTGGCAGCTGGAGGCGTGGGGGTGAGGCTGGGCCCCTGGGCTGGGGGAGCGAAGCAGGCCCCAGGCTGCAGCGGGACACCCCGGTCAGGCAATGTACGTACACACGCGCGCCTGAGTACACCCCGCAGACAGCGAGCATGTGTGTGCGTGTGCAGACACACACGGCACACGTATCGCTCCCCCCCAACCCCATGCTCCAAGAATGAATCAGGGGCGGCTTCCGCCGGGGGCGCCACCACCACCTCCGCCCCCAAGCCTGGTCCCCAAATACTTTCCACCCTCACAGAGC